GAAAAAATAGATGGGTTACTAAGCTCTGTGGCCAGGTTACTTAAAGAAATCCAAGGCCACATTTTAGTCAGTCCCTAAGGCAGTGATGGCGAACCTATGACACGCGTGTCAGAGGTGACAGGCAAACTCATTTTTTTGGTTGATTTTTCTTTGTTAAATGGCATTTAAATATATAAAATAAATATCAAAAATATAAGTCTTTGTTTTACTGTGGTTGCAAATATCAAAAAATTTCTATATGTGACACGGCACCAGAGTTAAGTTAGGGTTTTTCAAAATGCTGACACGCCGAGCTCAAAAGGTTCGCCATCACTGCCCTAAGGAGACACAAAGAGAAAAAAAGGCTTCATGGCCCCAATAGAATTTCCTTCGCTCCAGTCTGCTGTCCCTGACAGTGTTCATAAAACAGTATCACCACCTGAAGTTAGCTGCCCTCTGATGACTTTTTCTGAAATTTTGTTAGTTCGACTTTCACTCAAGCCTAAATCTCGCTCCCCACCCTGATTTCAAGAATGGACCGGCAGGATTCTTCTCCCACTCACTATTAACTTTTCAAAAGCCACTCGCCTATTTGCCTATCTCCTGCCATGACCAGCACACTAACCTTGCCTTATCACAGGCTCCTTAGGAACTGGAATCCCCTTTCTGCTTTGTTCAGCAGCCCAAGATGTAATCAAGGAGCCACTCCTTGGGGAGGGTAGAAAGGGAAGGATTTTAGGCCTGAGCACCATAGCGATGCCACAGGAGAATTGCAGGAATCCCGTGAACTGTCCTCACCCCACATTGTGCTCTGCCTCACTGATCTTTCAAATTAGTTCAGCCTCATGAAAACCAACAACATTTAAAGCAAGTAATAATAGTCATTGTACACCTCTCATCTGCCTTAGCTCACTCTGCGTGTCCTGGTTTAGCCAAGCTGAGTTTTCAAAAAGCACTACCACTGAGTCCTGGGACTGGGTCTGAGAACATCAGTGCTCATCTTGGGGAAAGAAGTCACTGATAAGGATCGAGCTACTGAAAAGCCATGATTTGTTCACAGAAGGTATGGAATGTGTTGGTTGATATTCTCTCTTTCTGAAGGATCATGGATTCAGTTCCTCAACAGAGAATAAACCTATTTCTCTTTTCTTTTCTTTTATTGTGCTATTAATAGCAAAATATTATAAAAATTTACACCAGCAGCTCTTAGGATATTTTCAGTTCACTATGTAACATTACTTATGAGTTTAAATCCTCTTGTGAGGGGGGATTTTTTTTTTTTAATTTAAGGTGTCTTAAAATTTTTCCAAAATAGAGATGGGTCTTATTTACTGCAAGGCAAACTGAAATTATTTATAAACAGTACATTATTTGATAGAAAATGTCCTTATGTTTCTCTTTCTAATGTAAATTATAAGTATGGCTGCCAGGAAAAAAGAATAATTTCTCTCCTTGCTGGTTAAAAATAGGTCAAGTAATTTAAGCCAGTCCATTGCAATTAAAATTCTGACATCGCCATTGTTCCTTCTGTTCTGGGGGGAAAAGACAAACAGAACACATGATAATAGGGGTTCATTGGCTAAGTCACCTGATGTGCTACCTATTGTTCTCTCGCTTCAATCTGCCTGGGAGCTCCGATTGGCTGATGGCAGTACAGTACCAAAGTGATAAATACCGCCTCGGAAGCTGTGTGTAACACCTCTTTTGTGCTGCCCAACAGTTCCGCTGGAGAGGAGGAAGTTGCCAATGGCTTGGGTCCTAAATTCCTTGAATTCTAAATTTATTTATTTATTGGAGACAATGTTATCTGCCAAGTTTATTTTAAAGTAAATTCTACTGAATCAATTAGACAGTAACAGTCATTCTCATTAAACATCCTGTGGCCCTTTTCACAAGATTAGAGCCCGTGGTCACATTCCAACACAGATAATGCCTCCTGCATTCCTACATACTTCCCTCCACCTTTCCAGCCCCATGCCCTCAAATACATTATTATTTGTGCTTAGCCCAAATCAACAGTTCTGTTGTGAGAGTGCAGAGTGTCAACTTTAACGGACAGGCCAGAGCATTGCCGGTTATACTTTTAAAAAGAAAACCCTTAGCCAGTGCATGTTTTAAAATATGAGGCAAATCTCAATTATGCACCTTTAATCATAGGTTAAGGGCTTTGGTGAGTAAAATACTCTCATTTTAATAAAGGGTGTTTATTTTGGAATTTTCTTTAATAAAAGATTTGTTGCTCAAATATATGCTGTTCGCATCAAGAAAGAAAATGAAGTCTTCAGAAATGATAAAAAAAAACAAAAACAAAAACAAAACCACAACTACCAAACAATAAAACATAAAACAACCCCCCTTGAGCAGCTTTCCTTTGACCTTCTAAATAAATTCCACAAGGGGGCGAAAACACCTAATGGTCCGGCACTGCAAAGTTTATATTTCAAAACCGGCCACCCATAATAGATTAGTGGATTAATATTTTGGTCTAAAGGATCTGGCCTTTAATGTTGACATCAATTTATAGCTATCCCAGGAGCTTACAGTAGTAAAAGTCACGGAGACCATAAACTTCACAATAGATGTCAGCCTTCTGGTACCAGTGCTCTAGCCTAGCACCCCATAAACAGAGGTGATTAGGTAACTGCTCTTCAAAGAGCCATCCGTAGCTGTAACATCTTCATCAGCTCTAGCAAAGATACTGCCGCCAGGATTTTAGCAGCTGCGGGGCAGAGGCACGCGTTTTTATTAATGCATATTTATTTTTCTGACATGTTTCTATGATGTTGCATTGCTGCTTATCATTGATCTCTTCTTGAAAATCAAGCGTGGGGTGTCTATTTGTGGGCACCGCTAGGAGAACAGAAGCACTCTTGTATCGTAGTAGAACTTTTTGAAAAACAGCCAAGGTACAGAGGTCAAATTTCCCCATATGCTCTAAGTAACTTAGTAGGAAGCAAGACCACAAAAGGTTTTGCAAATGTCTGCCAGAAGCCCAGTGATCTAGGTCGCTGTACAGGTTTCATTAATCAGGGTGTTCAAACAAGGAGTTATTTTTCTCTGCCTAAGAGACCTGCAGATATATCACATAGAATCTGCTCAATTGTTGATCAAGAAAGAGTTTTAATGAAATAGAGATCATTCAAGTGAATGGGAGGGAGGAGGGGGGCGGGTTGTATTTGTACTGAAGAGAAATTGTGCTTTCAACCCAGCTCCTCTGTTTGAGTCCTCTGTTCTGGCAGAGATGGGCTCAGGATCTAATAATAGTTCCTTGAGCTCTGCATCTCCACATACGTGTCCGGGTTAGAGCAGCAGGAGGAATTTAGTGACAGAGCAGGTGTTGTGGCTTATTCCCTGGCAGAATACATGGTGAAGGGTGGTGGCCAGACAATTCTTTTGCTTCTTTCTTTTTGCAAAAGAACAATGCCTCCAATAGGTTTCCCTTTTTTTCCTGGCACAAGTGAAAAAGAACTAGAATTGCTGTATTAATATGTATGCAAACATATTTTTTCACTTGAGCCTCTGGAAAAAAAAGAAAAACTTAACGGTGAAAATGCTTAGCCAGGAAGATTTACTGCTGATTGCAGATTTAGTATTGACACGTCTTAGCTAAAGAAAACTTCAGCTCTAACTATTAATGTGGGAAATCTGGATCAGCTTTTAAAAATGGGGTGGAGTTTTCAATGACAGTGTATTTTCAGAGACATTATTTAGAACATAATTTTTAATAGGAGTGTCAATTATAGTGGCGTGTGCATCTTAATTTTAATGGTCTGTCTTGGCTATAGAATTATGGAATGTAGGTGATCTGAATTATACTGGAGTCAGCCTTTATGCAAGACCCACTGTTATTTAATACTTCTATATACCCTCCTCTCCTTTTTAATTATAAAATAGGCTTAAAGATTGGAATCTGTCTAAATGAAATTCCCTTTTAAAATAGTGAGACTTTTCTCCAATCTACATTTCTTTACTCCTCCAGTAGGTTAAATACAAAATACTTTTTTTTCTCTCTCTCGTTAATGTAGGTGTGTTGCCCTTATAAGATAAGCTAGGAAAACAAAAAATTCTTTCTCCTGCCAACGTTAATGTAGGTGTGTTGCCCTTATAAGCTAGGAAAACAAAAAATTCTTTCTCCTGCCAACAGAGATAATTTGAGATTTTAACAATATTACTTTTTCATTTGATTATATAAGGTAAAACCTGACATCTACTTACTGAACTGTAGTTATATATTCTTGATAATCCATTTAGGTAAAATTAAAATGACCTTATCCTTATGTCCTTTGCACCCAATGCCTGTGACAGAAAAGGCTCAGTATTCTGGAAAACAGGGCATGCTTGAGAGGGAACATCTTGTAAAGACTGTAATTTGACCTTTGACTCAACCTCTCTGAGTAAATTTTAAATATTATAGGAGAACAAATAGAAAGCCTCAAGGTATAATTCTGCTCCATCTTCCTCTTAGAACTATAAGCCAGTCAGAAGCTATTTCAGAGATTAAGCTAGCAGTGTGTGTGCCTCTCCTTAGTACTTTTACTGAGAAATAAGATTCATCACTACAGATAAAAATTTCTATATCATGCCATCCTCATCAATCTCCCAGAATATTACTCCCTTCTACCTCCTTTGAAGTAGTTGAATCAGGTATAGCCAGAAACCCTTAAATTTTCCCTCTTCCATACTATGAAAAAAATATCCATAATTTTTAGTATAATAAACCTTTCTAACTCTAGAGTATACTTGAATTTGATGGCAATTAAGGGGAAAGAAAAGCTTTGACAACTTTGTAGCTTTTGATTAAAACCACACCAAGAGACATGTTCCAATGATAACAAGGAAGCATTATGCCAATTATGTTAAATCCTGCTCCTCTCTTAAGCTCATCATGACCTGTTTTAGTGTCCAGTGCTTTACTCTTTGGAATGCTTACTCTCATCAATGAAGTGTTCCATTTACAGAGGAAAAAAAGGAAATCCACCAAAGGGAACAACCACCCCCAAATGACTTCTAGAAAACAAGTATTTCTTAACTTTTTATTGACATTGGCAAATTAAAATAGAATAAATTAACAAGTATTTTTTCAAAAAAATGTTTTGTACAAAAATACTGTCAAAATTTCCTTAAAAGCTTTCAACACAGTAGTATCTTTTCATGTACTGAATATAACTATTAGCACAGTGTCAAAAATGTTGAAGACAGAAACAAAATAAAAATCTGTGAAATGTTTGCCACTGACGACATTCCACACACCCTATTATTGTCTGTACATATGGGGGAGGGGGGGGCAGCCAACTTGAAAGTGAACAGTATGACTTTTCCTGATCCAGAACGGCTTGGCCCACATCTGTTTAATCTTCCAGTTTAGCATATTTTAAAAATTAGTCTGTACTCAAATGCATAGTTAAAAAAATGAAGCGAGATGGCAGAGTTTGTGCATCTGCCCTTCGAAGTTCATGCAACCAACTAATGCAATTTTTCCTTTCACTCATAAATTTGAATGCAGTTCAGTCATTTGAAACCATCTACAAAATCCACAAGATTAAGCAGTTTGCCAAGATTAATATCTAACAGTTGAGCACTGGAGAAAGTGAGGAAATAAGGAGTAAAAACAAACAAAAAAGACCAAGTTAGCTAGATATTTCAACTACATAAGGGAGGTGAATGTCAAGGCTACAAAAACGAAACAAAAACAGGAAAAAAAAAAGTGGCAGCAATTTTTTTAACCAATTTGTACAAGTTTATAGTTTACTTTGTTTCCAAGTTCTCAAACCTTTCAAGATTTGAAAAGTGAGATACTGTGTCTAAGGGAATGTTTTTAATTCACACCGAAGAAGTTGGAGGGTTTGATTTCTTTCGCTGGGTTTCGATCGAGTCAACAGCTTACTCGACTGGGCTGCTGTTTGCACACGAAGTCCGTCATGAAATCAAATTCGTTTTGCCCCAGCCAGAGTTCAGGCAGCTCCTTGATGCGGTCCAAACCCATTTCTATCACTAAGGACATAAGCACTTCCTCGTCGATGAAATCAGTGTCTATGACATTGGGCGGCAGCATTGCAGCAGGGACGTGGGCCACAGAGGCGGGCATGTTGCTGCTGCCGCTGCCGCTGCCGCCGCCGCCGCTGCCATTGGACAGACCTCACCGGTACCTGCATGGTGAAAAACATCAGATCACAGCGCCATCTGAATGGCAAGCACCCGAGCCGGGGGTGGTGCTGCCGCCGCTGTGTTTGGGGTTGCAATCTCGGAAGTGCTGGTTTGTCCCGTTCATCTGGTGGCCTGCAGCAGAGTGCAAATCCGGCATGTAGTGGTTGTGGGGGTAGGGGTGATGGTTGAAATACTGGTTGTTGAGCTTCTGCAGCTGCATGCTGGCCGGCAGGGAGCCTCCCTGGCTGGCCACCGGGGGGCCCATGAACTGGGAGTTGTTAAACCTAGCGGCTGGGGCCAGCGCGCTTGCGGGGTGCCCTCCGTTCACAGTCCCCGGCCCCATCGCGTGCCTGATGCCGCTGGTGGCATTCATGTTGCCCGCGCCGTAGTGTATGTGCTCGCCCATTAGGGCGTTGAAGGCGTGTTGGGGCTGCTGCTGCTGCTGGTGGTGATGGGGGCTCGGGAACTGCCCCATGCCCATGCGGTGGGCAGGGTGGTGGTGCAGCCCATTGGTACCGTCGGGGAAGCGCCCGTGGTTCATGGCCATCATATGGTCTGCCATTTCCAGTCCTGCAAGTGAAAAGGGCAGACGATAAGACCCGGGCCACACGTGTCGCCCACCAGAGCGCACCCCACTTTTTCTGGCCGCTGCCCCCCAAGACCCCCGGGCGCACGTCGGCTGCGAATTTTCATTCCCCAGGATCCCGCTAGTAGCTAGCGCACCGGGACTCGCCAACACGGCGGACCTTCCACCCACAACAGAGCCGGGGGGCTGCACAGACAGCCCCTTCCCCTGTGATCGGGCGGGAGGGCCGGAGCCCACACCCCCCTCCGCTCTCCTAAGTCGCCTAATAAAGGAAGTGCCCCGTAGCCCTGCCGCGAACTTAAGGCTTTAAATCAACCCTCCTCATCCTGTTGTTGCACATCCTGTTGTTATTCCCCAGCTCCGCCTAGCGCTCTTCCTCCGGGCAAACCCAGCCCTCGGAGGACGGGGTTGGCAGGAGCCCGGGCCAGCTTCGCCGGGCGCGCTTACCTTCCGTCTTAGCGATTTCTGCTCCGAAGACCAAGGGCGGGATCGTCGGGTCCAGGACCGACTCAGCAGCACATAGAGGGGGCCTTCCTGGCGTGCAGGGCGCTAGCTGTCGCGTTGTCGGAGCTGAGGTCTTGCAGCGGGCCGCGGGGGTAGAATCGGAGCCGCTCTCCTTTATTTTCCCTCCGCTGCCCTCACAGCTCAGCAAGACTGCCCAGCAACTACCAACAATGAACTGTGTTTCTTAGAGCTTTGGCCACAGTTAATATAAGGATCTCAGGAAGGGCGGAGCAAGAGCCTCCAGGGCGGGAGGCAAGAAAAAGCGGATTCTGGAACTCCGGGCACATCGGACCGGGTCGTGGAGCTGCGTCCTCGCGGCGAGCGGCACGTGCACAGAGGTTGCCGCGGGCCTGGGTGCTGCCCCATTGCCCCCAGACTCTGGTTTCTTCCCTACCCGCAAATGTGGGGACGGCCCGGTCGCGCCGGGTCCAGGGAGAAAATCCTCCTTGGACTCCTAGCCCGCAGGTATCGCCTTCCCGGAGAGGAGCGAGGAAAACTCACCGCCCCCAGCCCCCTTACGGCCGGATCCCCCATCCCAACCCCTTCCACCGGGTTCACCTAGCGGTTTGGGCTACCTTCTACGGGAAAAGGGGGTTCGCTCGCGCCCTAGCCCTCCATAGTGCCCTTTTGCCTCCCTGGTTTTGCAAAAGCTTCCTTGGACCGAGAGAATGGCTGTGTTTTCCTGAGTGGGGTTTTAAAGCCCGGGACAAATAATGTCCCCGCCTCCGAGCGCGCTATCCTGGGCTGTGCCTTTGTGTTTTTGTAGGGGCAGCAGGTAAGCTGATCTAGATATTCTCCTTGTAGATGCATTTTTTCCTGACTCCTTTCAAGGACAGGAGCTGGGGGCGGGGAGCGGCACTGGCTGCAGGTGGACCGAGCGCGCTCGCGGCCCGGCCGGCCCCGTTCTTGCGATTGGGAATCCGGTCCGCGCTTTTGGGCCCACCCGCCGCTGTGTGCTTCAGCTAAGTTTGCTTTGCAGCTAGCTCTTGGTAGCTTTGGCATCCGAGCTGAGGCGTCTCTGCTCTGTAAACAAACTCAGCGATCCTCGTCCCCAGATCCACCTTTTTGCACATACACAGTTTCTAGCTTCTGCTGTTGCCCTTGATCCGGGAGGGAGGTGGGGGTGTGTACAAACTTGCACAGCCTCCCTCTGGGCTCTGCCTGAGGGTTTGGGGTTGATTTAGAAGCGAACGGGTTTGTAATTAAGAAATTCGAAGGCTGCGTAAGGCTGCTGTTGCTGGAAAAGGAAAACAAATAAATAACATGGTAATCGTTTGGTAAATAAAGTTGTTCTGGAGGTGGACGCGTAGCTGCACGTCCCATATGGCACCGCGCGCGCACACGCACTCCTGGGACTCTTCCTTTCCAGTGAAATTGTTCGGTGGAGCAATGGGCGGTTATAATAACCGTGCTTCCCATAACGTGACACGACTAGCCTGGTCTTCTGTTTGGCTCACTGACTTGCAAATAAAAGCCCTAACTAGGGTCTGGGCGACAACCTGGTCAGAGCTCTCTCTCTCTCTCTTGCTTTCTAATGTGGGGAAGCCGAATTGTTTCCCCCAACCACGAGGAGGCTGCTCCAAGCCTTCGTATTGCTCTTTATGTGGTAACAGCGAGTTTAGCATGTAGCGCTCCGAATAAGGACTTCTGTGCAGAGTTGTTTCTTCATAACTCTATAGCCATTGAAGACTTCCTGCTGCCAAGAGCGAGTTCCCCGCCTCCCCCTCCCCCTCCCCCGTTTTTTCCTCCCTCCTCGTTGACAAGACTTTGAGGCCTTATGTCTTGAGAACTGAAAATCCTGATACATTTTCCCTTTCAGGAATTTTGCAAATGAGACCGAATACTGTTTATTTTCGATGACCCCTCCATCTTCTTTGTATATGTATATCACTGTTCCTCTTTTTCCTTCTCCAGGCTCTCCAACATGTACAACAGTGTATGCGATCATTTTTAAACCTCAAAGATATTTACTTTTTGGAGACTTGTGCACAGAACACATTGCATTGTTGGTTGCAACAAATCCCCTAATATCCTCCCCACCCACTGCCTTTACCTATAGGTCTTGGACTTGAAGTTACAGAATCAGAGTCTTAGAAGAGACCTATAAAAAAATAGACTCCGAAATATTAGTCACCTCAGACTCAAAAATTGCCAGATACCTTGCTTACTACCCCTTCCTCATACAGCAGTGTCTTCAAGGACCAGCTCTTGAATGTCTAATCTAAAGAAATGTGCCCCTCCATCAGTTCTATTGCTTCCACTCAATATTGGGAAATGCCTTGAAAGGTCACCTCCTCCTGCCTCACCCTTTAAAGGGGAAAAAATTAGTTCTGGGACCTGCTGGTTAGACCATGGCATGCTTTGTTCATTTATTCATCCATCCAATGAATGTTTCCCAAGTGCCAGGCACTTTTCCTAGTGCCTGGAGAGACAACTAAGATAGGAACCCATGGTCTAAAGGAGGAGATGAACGAACAGGCCTTGGACACACTGTGATCAATGCCACAACAGCATTAAACACAAGGACTGCTGGGAGCACATAGGCAGGACCCCTATCCTGGTCTTCAGGGCCTTGGGAAGGCTTCCCAGGGACTAAGTTCAGGCCTGAGGATGTGTAGAAGTTAGGCCACCCCAGGAGGGGGCAGAGATGAAATAGGTTGGAGAACTAAACTGGTGCTGGATCCTGTGGGCTTTGGTCCTCAATTGAGAAATTTGGATTGTATCTTGAAGACAATGAGAAGCTTGTGAAGGCTTGTGAACCAGTAAGATGATCAAATTTTTGTTTTAGAGAGATCAGGACAATACTGTGGAGAATGGATTGAGAAAGTAAGACTGGGAACAGGGAGTCCAGTTACAGTCATCCAGGGGTTTATCCTGTGAACCTGGGTAATACAGTCGTCAAGTAGTACTGCTTGATGGTTGTATTGGTTTCCAAGGGCTTTCATAACAAAGTACCCATAACTGTGTTTATGCCACTCAGGACTTTATTTTCTCACATTTCTGGAGGCTAGAAGGCCAAAATCAAGGTGTTGGGAGGGTTGGTTCTGAAGGTTGTGAGTGAAAATCTGTTCTATGTCTCTCTCCTAGATTTGGTGGTTTGCTGATCATCTTTGGTGTACCTTGGCTTATACATGCATCACCCCAATCTCTGCCTTTATCTTTACATGATGTTTTTTTCTGTGTGATTGTATCTTTGTGTGCAAATTTCCCCTTCTTCCTCCTCCCCTCCTTCTCCTTCTCCTTCTCCTTCTCCTCCTCCTCCTCCCCTCCTTCTCCTTCTCCTTCTCCTTCTCCTTCTCCTTCTCCTTCTCCTTCCTCCTTCCTCCTTCCTCCTTCTCCTTCCTCCTCTTTAAAGCTGAATATTATTCCATTGCATGTATGGAACACACTTTATTTATCCGCCCATCTGCTTTTGGCTAATTTTTAACAGCAGTCACGGACATCTCTGCATACCCCATCTAGAGCCCTACTGGAAGCGGGTAGGGTAGACTGGCTCCGCGGACCCAGCAGCTCGAGGCATCGGAGGGGAAGGGGACGCTGGGGAGGGTCGGCCTGGGCTGGAAGCTTTGTTTAGAGGCACATGAGGCCACAAACTGCACCAAGGAAGGTGCAGCCAAACTTCTGCATATTTTTCTCCAAACGACACAAGTGATTTGTCAGAGACTAATGGGTTCTTTGCAGCGGGCTGGAAGGGCTGTCGGAGGTGGTAATAAAGAGGAAGCGATGTCAAATATTAAAAGGCAACGCATTCCAGCGGCTTCGCGGCAGAGAAGTCCATTAAATCAGAACCCCGAGAAAGGTTGTGCGGCCAAACAAATTTTTTTTCGGAGCTCAAGTAGGAACCCAGCGAGGTGATAAATGCTCCCGATTCCATTGGTACTTATGACACATAGTTGATAAAAGACCTGAAAAAATTATAAACTCAGAGCAGTTGTGAGATATACTGAGAAAGCCCAGCGAGGACTGTGTCACGCGTGCCCGGGGGATAATTCATCGGGAAGCGGAGGAGCTCGATGCGTGCAGACGCCGTGGGGACAAATGGTGGCTTTGCACAAACACAGCCTCCTGCAGCTGCTGCTCAGTGGGGACATGGCGGCTGGGAGCACTCAGAGAGAGCAGACAAGCCCCAAGCCGAACGCCTCCTCCTCTTCCTCCTCCTCCTCCTCCTCCACCAGTCATATTGGATTAGGGCCTATCCTAATGACTTCATTTTAACGTGATTACCTCTGTAAAGATCCTGTCTCCAAATAAGAAATAAGGTCACATTCTGATGTACTGGGGGTTAAGATTCCAACATCTTTTTTTGGAGGGACACACTTTACCCCATAACAGTGGTAGAGAAACTGAATAACACAAGACCCCTGCCATTATGGAAGAAAGATGCTGCCCAGAACTCTCTTCCCAGATATCCTGCTGGCCCACACTCTCATTTCTTCCTGTCACTGCTCAGATACACCTCAGTGAGGTCTTCCTGACTATCCTACTCGCATAGCAAGATCCTTTGTTTTCTTAATGTTTATTTTCCTCCTTTATCCCTACCTGACATGCTGCATGTTGGATTTCATTGTCTTCTTCAGTGAAATGGCGGTTCCAGGAGAGCAGAGATCTTATTCATTCAGTGTCTTAAACAAGTCCTGGTATATTAGTCTTTGACCGATTAGATCAGTGGTTCTCAACCTTCTGGCCCTTTAAATACAGTTCCTCATGTTGTGACCCAACCATAAAATTATTTTCGTTGCTACTTCATAACTGTAATGTTGCTACTGTTATGAATCGTAATGTAAGTATCTGATATGCAGGATGGTCTTAGGCGACCCCTGTGAAAGGGTCGTTCGACTGCCAAAGGGGTCGCGACCCACAGGTTGAGAACCGCTGGATTAGACCAATGAGTGAATGAATGAGTGGAATATAACAGAGGAGTCAAGGGAAGCCAAATGAACAGCTGATGGGGGAGTCAGGGAAGATTTTTCTGGAGAAGGTTACTTCCAGGGCTAGAGGAAGAAACAGCGAGTGGAAAGGAGAAGAGCAGCTGGCCACTGTTTGCATTGTGGCCTCTCATGCACGTGGGGAAAACTGTGATCTATTTGGGAAGATGGCTCCCCTGTGGGTCAGGATTGCTGGCTGCTGACTGATGAAAAAAAGTCTTTATTGTTGTAAATGTTCGATTGAAACACACCTTTGAGAAGTAAGCCTCCAG